TTGTGGCAAAATAGCATCGAAACTGCTGGCCGGATGTACTATATCGCAACAGAACAGACGCCGAACCACAGGTCTGCGCCCGTAATTATAATACGAATAAAGAAGGGAACAGGTACTCCGCCGTACTCCAGTTGGCCTGGCGAAAAATTAACTTTAACCTTAACCCTCATAACCTTAGCTGCAAAGCCAACTCTAGAATCTTTGGTATTTGGCGAACGGCCACATGTTATATAGGCGGGGATGGGGGGGAGAGATGTATTTGCAGCGATACGTGGAGAAATGCATCAAACATGGTACGCGAATTTGTACAATCGAGTCTACCTCAGTAAGAACACACCAATGCACCGATCAAGAGGTATAATCAAGACGGAGCGGTTTTTGATGCAGAATAAGCACGAAATATTACACGGGGCATTCAGGTTTTGGTAAACATAGCTTTTTTCGGAAGAGATCGGAAATCTCACGAACGCGCGCACACTGTCGCCGAAAAAGTAAACTTAGACGAATATCACCCTGTTCAGGCTAGTGGTTCGGGGAGGAGGAGTTGTTATAAGACTGCCTGTACGTCAAAAGGAGTTAAACAATTTCAAAACAAGACGTGGTGTAATTGACAACAGTTCCATTCTTGCAAATAGAAGTGTTAATTGAAACCGGCTTATTGGATTGAGAGAGGACTACGGAATTGACAGGGAGTGAAGGCGAGCACTGCATACATACAGTAGATGTGCTAACTCATGAAATGTCAACCAAAATTTCCAAATGCGTTCTCGTTTTGAAAAGATAAATTAAGTAGTGTTGTAGAACTAATCATGATGCAGCATAAATCTATAATGATCCAGTTACCTCAGGATGCCGGCTTTCGAAAGAACTTATTTTCTGCTGCATGCAAGATCTATACTCTGCAAGAGATGACTACTTATGTAGTATGCAATTTTCTCATTGATTTTTGACGCCCTTGAAAATTCAATTACATTTCATGGAAAGCATGCATAAAAATATTCATTCTTTTACTTGTTCGGTAGAAAATCACGTCTTCTTCCAATTTAATACTCAAAAGAAGAGTACGATTCGGCTTTAAAAAACGTTTCTAATTTCCGAATAATTTTGAACCCGACCTGCTGTTACACTTGCATTCAGGGTTTCAAAACTACAAGCTGTATATTTTTCGTGTACGGAAAACCATGCATTTCTCTACGGTGTTAAGAGGAGACCATATGAGGTTCATAAAAGTAAGCAGTGGATTTGAGCAATATTGTTAACTTTACAAGCCACATTCGTAAATGCAGATACATGACGTTTCATGAACGGCCATTAAACGGTATTAAAGAATCTCACCATTAGAAACTTTTTTAAAACCGAATTATACTCTTCTTTTGAGTATGAAATTGGAAGAAGACGTGATTTTCTACCGAATAAGTAAAAGAATGAATATTTTTATGCATGCTTTCCATGAAATATAATTGAATTTTCAAGGGCCTCAAAAATCCATGAGAAAATTGCATACCACATAAGTAGTCATTTTTTGCAGAGTATAGATCTTGCATGCAGCCGAAAATAAGTTCTTTCGAAAGCCGACACCGTGAGGTAACTGTATCATTATAGATTTATGCTGAATCATGATTAGTGTTACAACACTACTTAATTTATCTTTTCGACACGAGAACGCATTTCGAAATTTTGGTTGACATTTCATGAGTTAGCACATCTACTGCAGGCGTTCGAGTTCTCGAAAACCGATTTCTACGTCGCCTCGAGGGATCATTTGGATGCTATTTTGTTGAGGAAGGCCACACTCAAGTGTTTTTGCGCCTGACTGGCGAGAACAAACACTTGAGAAACGTCCTCCCCCCCTGTCTCCTGACACTGCCAACGCATTTCTGCCCACCCAGTGGTCCCTGTCACCGAGGTAAACCTAAGGAATCTAGCCGACAACCAAAAGGGGGAGGGGCGATGACATCTTTGGGCACAACAACAGGGCCGCCTACGCCTAAAAGGAGAACCAGTAGCAGCTATAGGCCGGAAGCAGTCCAATCAAACTCCTTTCGTACATTGAGTGACCGATCTCATGAAATGTTGGCCGAAATTCTGAGATGCGTTTTCGATTTGGGAGGATCAATTAGGTGGGGCTGTAATACTGATTATCATGCGGCATAACCCAACAATATCTCGGACTCGCCAGGATGTCAGCTTTTGAATGAACTTCCTTTCGATCTCCTGCAAAACCCACACTCGATAACAAACTGACTGCTTAAGTAGTATGCAATCTTCGTATTGATTTTAGATGGTCATATATGTAAATTCGAATATTTTTATAGAAAATATGTACAAAATGTGCTTTATTCTACATATTCGGTGGCAAATCACGTCGACTTTACATTTTATGCTTGAAGAAGTGTTTAATCATACGATTTTTAAGACCGTACAATGTGCATTAATACAGCATCGTACCTGTCGGTTTACCATTGCTCTTCATGAAATGTACAACATAGTCCGCACTCATTGCAAAATTTCATGAACTCTAAATCGTATCTGCTTAAAGGCATAGAGGAATAAAATCTTTTCCTTACACGGAAAGCATGCGTCTTGTAGAATGAAATCGCTAAACGCTAATGCAGCAGCTGATCTGGCTTAAAATTATTCGGGAATTGGAAGCCTTTATTAAAACCTAAATATATCCTGTTTTCAGGCATAAAATGTAAAGTCAACGCGATTTTTCACCGAATGTGTAAGAGAAAGCATATTTTCTATAAAATATATTTGAATTTATAAGACAGTCAAAAAGAAGTGCAAAAAATGTATACTACCTAAGTGGTCATTTTTTGCCGAGCGTGGGTTTCGCAGGAGATCGAAAGGAAGTGCATTCAAAAGCCGACATCCTGGCGAGTCCGAAATACTACTGGATTATGCCGCATGATAACCAGTATTACAAACTCCCCCCCCCCTCCCCCAAGTAATACTTCCAAATCGAAAGCCTATTTCAGAATTTCGGGCAACAGTTCATGAGATCGGTCACTCACTGTGCGTACCAACAAGTTTGCCCTAGCGGCTAGATCGACTAACAAAATGAGTCCTTTGCGGACCCTCTGTTGCACGGAAAAATCCCAAGTCAAGCGATGCGAGTGTAATCCAGAAACGAAGGATATGAAGGCAACGATTCACGACGTTCAGAATCGCTGACCAGTACACTGAAAGGATAGAGTTAAACAGCGCAGAGGGACGGCCAACAAACGCGTGTAGAGTGTCAACGCCTCCTCCGAAAACGGCTATGCCATTGGCTTGTACGACCAAGGCTGGATCGGGTGGCTCTGCGGCAAGATGGTTTCCTCACTTTGCGGGGGGGGGGGAGAGGGGAGACGCGCGTCTCCACTTCCCCCTCCCCCCCCCCGCCCGATACAGCAAGCAATTTAATGTTCCAGGGTTTTATCGGGCAAGCGGCCAAACCATAATGGATGGCAGTCGGCATACCACTGCGGCTTGTAACCGCCTCACAGCGACCACCTATTTCCCCGATCGACGGTTATTCACATCAGAAGATCTTACCGCTGTCTGGTCCGCGACTTTTCTGTCTTCCGGTCCTGCTTAATTCGCAGCCCAACCTTGCTGAAGGTCGTTCTTCTGTCCATCCGAAACGCGTAGGATCCCAGCAAAAGGTTTAATGGAAGACTAGGGGCGAGGGCAGGTCAGAATTCCAGAAAGCTGCCGCGAGACCGCAAAAGTGGTCAAGGCCGAAATCGAAATTCCTAAATGCGTTTTTGTTTAGAAAAGATTAATTAAGTAGGGTTGTAAAACTAGTCAACCTGCAACATAATTCTATAATATTTCAGCTACCTCAGGATGCCGACTTTCGAATGAACTTCCTTCCGGCTGCATTCAAAAGCTACACTCTGTAAAAAGGACTACTTAAGTAGGATGACTTTTTCTCTTTGATTTTCGATGCCCCTAGAAGTCCAATTATATTTCATGGGATACATGCATGAAAATATTCATTCTTTTGCTCATTCGGTACACAGTTACGTCTTTTTCCAATCTTATACTCGAAGGAAGGGTATAATTCGGCTTTAAAAGTTTTCCAATTCCCGAGTATTTTGAACCCGCTCTACCGTTACACTTGGATTCAGGGTTTCCAAACTACAAGCCGTATATTATCCGCGTACGGCAAACCACACATTTCTCTACGGTTATAAAGGGGACCATATAGGGTTCATAAAATCTAGCAGTGGATTTGATCCACATTTTTAACTATACAAGCCACATTCGTAAATGCAGAGATAGGACGATTTATGAACGGTCATTTCACGGTCTTTAAAAGTCCCACAATTAGAAACTTTATAAAAGCCGAATTATGTCCCTTCGAGTATAAAATTTGAAGACGTGATTATCTACCGAATGAGCAAAAGAATGAATAGTTTCATGCATGTTTTCCATGAAATATGATTGGACATTTAGGGGCATCGAAAATCAATGAGAAAAATGCATGCTACTTAGGTAGTCATTTTTAACAGAGTGTAGTTTTTGAATGCAGCCGGAAAGAAGTTTATTCGAAGGCCGGCATCCTGAGGTAATCGAAATATTATAGAATAATGTTGCAGGCTGACTAGATTTACAACCCTATTTAATTAATCTTTTCGAAACGAAAACGCATTTAGGGATTTCGGTTGACATTTCATGAGTTAACCCACCTACTGTCTATATGTCCCGAGCTTTATATGGATGCGACGCGACGTGCCGCGTTGGACACCGACCTTCCAGATGAAAAATGACAAGGCAGAGATGCTGAAAACTTGGTTTTCAGGCTTTATTTTGAAACGGTATCAGACTCAGCAGTTGGGAAAAGCCGTCAGAATGAATCTATTTGAAAAAAAGTGGTGAAATGCTCAGTCGAACTTTGGTTAAGAGAAGCCATGAAGGAGGAAGGAGACTTCAATCACTGATTGTATCATTAAACGCTGCCCAGAACGGAGTAGAAGTTTTGGCCTCCAACAGTGTACGCCAAGGCGCAGTCACAGGCGACGGTAGTAGCCAAGCTGCTTTTTGCAGTTGGGGCACCTGTGCTGAACGTCCTGGCATCTGGCGCAACAGAAGGGTATGAGGCAGCAGAAGAAGACGCCACTAAAACCAAAGAGGGGGGGAGTAAATTTTCACAGCAAACAAATCGAGTACCGACAAAGACTGGAGGGAAACACGTGACGGCCACTTCTGGTCCAATCCGGAGGTCGAATAGTTCAGAATTCGAACCCGGATAGTCTCTGGAGCTCTAAGTTCAATTCACTGCCACCGAGCCACGGACTCCTTATCTAGTCGGCTGCGATTGGGAACATTAACTACTGCGGAGGCGGGGTGGTCGTCTACCGATTCGACCTTACCGTCCCTCTCCACACCTTGGAGCTCCCGCTGGAGACCTCGCAGGGATGGTTCGACTAAGCAAACAAGCTCCGATGGGGTGACAGAGGGGGAAGGTGTAGAAGAAGATGTGGGCAGACTGAAACAGTACAGCTTCGGGCTTATTTTGCCCAGAAACACAGGCGTGCGCTGGCACACGGCATAGATGGTCCACGAGGGGGGGGGTCTGCTAGATGGGCAGTAAGCACTTTGTAAAACCCCAGTTCACCACTGTCTCACCATTTGGTTTTCTTACGCTGATTTCAGTACGAATAAATACCCCCCTCCCCAGGGGAATGGGATTGACTGCAAAGTCACCGGCATTACGGGTGGTTCCCATTGCGTGTCCTGCTGTTAGCCCTTCTGCCAGCCTCCAATGAACGCACCGGACTGTAAGTTGATTCGTCCGAGGAAGAGAGTACTGGATTGTTTTACGGATCCTCGGCTGTTCGCACTTAAGGAAGAGAAAAAGATACGTAGTGGGACCCCGCCCATCTTCTATGTACTTCGAGTGCTAAATGTGTTCGGAAAAGTCAAATATCACTTCTCCACTTCAAATGGCCGAAACCTTCTCGAGTCATGCAGAGGTTGGCAGACCCACTTCAATTCCACCGTCCCATCTTCTTTTTCAGGTAGCCTGGATTGAGCCAGAAATTGGCGTACTGTTATTGATAGATATTTTGACAGATTTTGAATAATTCCTATTGACGCAACTGTGAAAAACTAGGTGCCTCGGTGGGATTCGAACCCACGCAGTAAGGAAAAGGCCTTATTACAGCCAACGCTCTAACCACTTGAGGTATCTGCCAAAATACCTATGAATTACGTGAGTCTGGTAGTTATCTGGTGGATTCTAGGTGAGTTATTTAGGAAATCCTGCTTGGGCAGTCGACTTACTGCATCAGATTTGGTGGATTCCAGACGTTACAGTAAGTTGGGCCGGGTAACCTGACCTAAATGTGATTAAACTCGCGTCGTCCGGCGGGGCCTCGTAGCTTAAGTAGTTAGAGCGTTGGCTGTACAAAGGCCTTCCCGTCACTGCTTGGGTTCAAGTCCCATCAAGGCGCCGAGTTTTTCACAGTTGGGTCAATATGAACAATACCACTTTCGCAAATCCCCCCCCCACGCGTACTGAAGACGTGGAGATCCCTAAACACACAAAAAGTAGACTTCAAACAGGCGTCACGGATCTTTCAGCGGAGAGCTGCCATACAAGCCTCTCCAGGAGGCCTTTACAGCTTATCAGCTAATGGCAGGACCAAGTCATCCCGTCAGTTGGCAAACCCCCGAGTCGCAGATTTTGGCCCCCCTCGTGAGAGTTTAAAACACAGCATGCGGATTGGGGCTCCCCAGTCCGAAAAAAATGACATACCCGAAAATGAAGATTAAGAAACAGCAGAGCCAGGCGAGGCAACCGTTCTTGCGCTCAATCGCTGTGAAGGAGTCCAGGTTACACCTGGGGCAGTGAGCCTGTACTGCGTAGGGTCCAAAGCGGGGTGGGGGTTTGAGCCCTGCAACGGTAGGAACAAAAACAACACGGAGCACGCATTAAGCGCATCATTTGCATCTGCGTATCGAAGTAGCATTTAGGCACCTCGGGCCACATACCGACGGTTTGATCGTCGTTGCCGACGCTGTTCATCATCATCATCATCATCATCATCATCATCATCATCATCATCATCATCATCATCATCATCATCATCATCATCATCATCATCATCATCATCATCATCATCATCATCATCATCATCATCATCATCATCATCATCATCATCATCATCATCATCATCATCGTCATCGTCATCATCATCATCGTCGTCATCATCATTATCATCGTCGTCATCATCATCATCATCGGCGGCGGGAGGGGGCGGCTCTGCGCGTGAATTGGTTCACAGTGATAGAAGACTTGCGCGGCACCCATCACACTCTCTCCTCCCTCACATACCTGGGCCCGGTGTCAAGCGGGAGAGTCAATAAGTTGGGCCGCACACAGGTGACTGGCGCGGCGTTTACCTGCGCCTCGACGTGCCACAACTTCCCCCCTCCCATGTATGACATTTGTTATGGGTGCACAACCCAATAACGAGTGTCGCACCCTAATCTGACCCGGTGCTGGTCCAGCGCTGAAGCCTAAGTCACTTCGACGCATACACCACAGCTGGTGGCCCCTAACCCCACACGGTAAGAATAATATCGGATCTGACCTGAATACAAATTTCACAGAGTTCACCCAGGAGAGGAGCCCTAATGCGACCTGACCGTCACAATGCTGGGTAGGCACGAGTGACCTATTCAAGTAGAAGACCTCTCACCCGCGATCGGTACCGCATGCAATTTTCTCATTGATTTTCGATGTCCTTAAAAATTTAATTATATTTCATGGAAAACATGCAAAAAAATATTCACTCTTTCGCTCATTAGGTAGAAAATAACGTCTTCTTCCAATCATATACTCGAAGGAAGGGTATAATTCGGTTTTCACAAACTTTTCCAATTCCCGAATACTTTTAAACCCGCTCTACCATTACACTTGGATTCAGGGTTTCCAAACTACAAGCCATATATTTTCTCGTACGTAAAAACACACATTTCTCTACGGTAATAAAGGAAGACCATAGAGGGTTCATAAAATTAAGCAGTGGCTTTGAGCCATATTGTTAACTTTCCAAGCCACATGAGGTTCTATGAACGGCCATTTCACAGTATTAAAAAATCTCACAATTAGAAACTTTTTTAAAACCGAATCATATCCCTTCTTCGAGTATAAAATTAGAAGACGTAATTTTCTACCGAATACGCACGAGAATAAATATTTTCATGCAAGTTTTCCATGAAATATAACTGGACTTTTAGAGGCATCGAAAATCAATGAGAAAATTCATGCTACATGAGTTCTCGTTCTTTACAGAGTGTAGTTTTTGCATGCAACCGGAAGGAAGTTCATTCGAAAGCCGGCATCCTGGGGGTAATTGTAATGTTATAGAAGTACGCTGCAGGCTGACTAGATTTACAACCCTACTTAATTAATCTTCTCGGAACGAAAACGCATTTAGGGATTTCGGTTGACATTTCATGTGTTAACCCACCTACTGTAAGTAATCTTTTCAAGGCACTGGTTTTCGCCATGACAGCTGCCCAAGCTCTCTTCCGGTTTTTTTTTTACCAAGCCCAGGTGACGTGTGTGTCAGATGCTGCGCAAGTCTACTATCGACATACATAATAGAAAGCAAACGCAAGTCACCGGCCCTGCTGGCACCCTGCTGTGGAGCAAACGGTGGACATCGCCGGGAACAAAAGGTCAAACGTGGGTAATAAACAAACCAGAATGCAGCTGAAGTGAGAATCGGAATCAGAGAAAGGTGGACGATTTCTGTCACGACCAAGTGCCTCGAATAGATATTTTCAGCCTCAAGCGAAGACATGTGCAGCAATTTAAACTGCCTTCAATTGAAATCAACTGCCCCTTCACACACCATCCTTTCGAATACCTTTGGCGACAAAGCCCATTGCCGAAGTCACTCCTGAAGTATTTCAACGGCTTCCACTTCATCTCCACCAAAACCTGACAGGCCTCCGTGTCCTGAATTTGCAAACTCCCTCAGTGAAGCGGGGTATCTGAAGACCTCGCTAGAAAGATACCTCCAAAATGGACCTACACAATACGCGGGGAAAAACAGATTGGAGACGGAGTCGGCACAAAAACTTCCGCAAGAGTTGGGACTCATGAGACATTTATTAAATGTCTCAAATGCACTTTTTCGTGGCGAATATAACTTTGATGAGGCTACGACACCAAGCGCCACTAGTTCACGGAAGGTGGCGTGGTGTCCTTTGCCGAAGAACATCTCCGGTCACCCCTCTAGATGACAGTTATATGAAGATATGGTCGGGTCATATTTCGTAGCCGTACCTGTAATAGAGAAGCCCGGGCTGCCTGTCGTAAGGGACCGGTGGTAGTAGGGGGGTTTAACCCTAACCCCTAGCAGGTACGGTTAAGAAATAAGATATAACCGAAAATATATGCCTAATTGACGAATTTCGATAATGTGTAGGACTGACTTATGTGGGCGCCTTAACAGGACATGAGAATCGGAACCGCCTGCAACACAGGTTGGGTTTGAGCCAACTTTCAGCGAAATAAGGGCACGGTTTAGGATTAAGTTAAGGATTAGATTTAAGGTGGGATTTGAAGTTAACGATGGTAGAGGGGTGCTTATTGATCGTTTCTACGGAACTCACTCGTCCCGTTGTGCCTTACGGGCTCCCTCTCGAGCGTAACCAGCAGCCGCACAACGGTGCATGATATAGACAGTATGTTATTACCGACAAAGACAAGGGAGACTGGAATGGCCATTTCTGGCTTATTAGCCGTCGTCAGCCAGTCATACCCAGCCCCGAAGTGTGGAACACCCGAGGCTCGAACTCGCGACCTGTTAGCTAGAAGTCCAACGCCTCTAACCACTGAGCCACGGGCTCGTTGTCTTGTCGGGTCCGATTGGGAACACATGTTAGAGTGAATCCCGTAGAAACGATCGGTGAGCCCCCCCCCCTACCATTGTATATTACAATCGAAACCGACAGGACAACGTGCCCGTGGCCCAGTGGTTAGAGGCGTTGGACTTCTAACTAACAGTCTGCGAGTTCGAGCCCCAGGTATCCCACACTTCGGCGTTGGAAATGACTGGCTGACGACGGCTAATAAGCCAGAAATGGCCATTCCGGTCTCCCTTGTCATTGTCGGTAATACCATTCTGCCTTAGAGTTAACGGTTACCCAAGCCAAAATCAGGTTTGGATTTAAGGTAGGGGCTGGTGTTAACTGCAGAGTTAAGGTTTAGGGTGGGGTTATGGTCAAGACTAGGACAACGGTTTAGATTTGTATTGGGGTTAGGACACGGGAATGTTTTGCCCTTTCCAAAATTACACGCAGGACCACCTTTATTAATTGGATGGGATGTTCCCATTTTCATGTCCCGCGAAGGTGTCCACATAAGTCAATCCAGCCCGTTAATGATTCTCAGTTTTTTTACGTATCAAATAAAATTGCCATCGGTTGGTGATATCCCGAGGCCCGGCAGCTAGGCGCAGAATGGGCGGTCGACTGTGTGGGCAAGACGAAAATGTTAGTTTTTGGTCCGGTAGGTGAAGGTGGACCGGTGAGTCAGCCCCCGTCTGAATGATGTGTAACGCCGCAAGCCGTGCACTCTCCGGCCCATACACGGACGGCAGACCCAATCAACCGAGCCGTAGCGAGGTGTACCGTACATACGCACACGGAACGGTCGCACACACCCTACCCCGCGGGGAGGGGGGGGGGAAGTGATTGTCGCGGTTCAAAGCCCAGGAGACGCATTCAACGCGAAAAGTCAGCATACACGGCCGCCCGCCTGCCCGCGAGAAAAAACATTCGGCGGGTGAAACGCCACCACAATGCACACTCGCATATCCTTTGTACAGTGAGCGACCGATCTCATGAAATGTTGGCTGAACTTCTGAAGTGCGTTTTCGATTGGAAAGGTTTACTGGGGCGCGGTTGTAGTACTGATTATCTTGCAACAGAATCCTATATTTCGGATTTGGCAGGATGTCAGCTTTTGAATTTATTGCCTTATAATCTCCTGTAGAAACCGGGCTCGGTAAAGAACGACTACTTAAGTAGCATGCAGTTTCCTGTTGATTTTCGACGGTCTTGCAAGTTCAAATATATTCTATAGGAACTACGAATAGAAATATGCTTTTTTCCAGTCGTTTGATAGAGAGTCACGCCGTATTGATATTTTATACACGAAGATAGAGTACAATAAGGTTTTGAAAAAGGTATCTTATTCCTAATAATTCGGAGCCTGATCAGTGGTTGGGTTAGTGCATAGTGATTTCAGTCTATAAGGTGCATGCGTTCCCCGTAAGTAAAATCGCATGTTCTCTCATGTCTTTAAGAAGATATTATATAGAATCCATAAAATTGTGCAACGGATGGGGTTCATGCTGTATGAATAGACATTACACGGTGTTAAATATTTTCATAATTAAAAACTTTTCTTAAAACCTAATTATACTTCGTCTTCGAGCATAAAATATAAAGACGGCGTGATTATCTATCAAACAACTGAAGGAAAGCATATTTTTATTCGCAGTTTCTATAAAATATATTTGAACTTGCAAGACCATCGAAGATAAGTAGCATGCAGTTTCCTATTTAAGTAGTCGTTTTTTACCGAGCCCAGTTTCTACAGGAGATTAAAAGGCAATAAATTCAAAAGCTAACATCCTGCCAAGTCCGAAATATTATAGGATTCTGTTGCAAGATAATCAGTACTACAACCGCGTCCAAGTAAACCTTCCCAATCGAAAACGCATTTCAGAACTCCAGCCAACAATTCATGAAATCGGTCGCTCACTGTATGAAGCACGACCAAAAATCGACACTTCGGCGGGGAGAGGCGCCCCTTACCCGACCGCGCTGACGTCAGGCGACGACAACGTGCAGGCGATACTGCACTGCGTCGATCCGCCGATTAGCAAAGTACATTCACACAGCAAAGAATCGATTTTACCGCGGACGTCAAGACTGCATTTTCGGAACCTTTGAGATCTGAGTTTTGCACCCCTGCGGCATGGTCACGACGGACGAACCGTGCCCCACCCCTTCCCGCGGGTCTCCTGTGTGCGACCGTTCTCTGTGCGCATGCATTGTCAACCGCGCCATGGCACGGCCGATTGGGTCAGCCAGAGGCTTATCGCGCCAGCCGGCATTCAGATGGAGTGTGGTGAACTGACGGTTTCCATTCAAGTGGATGTTATACAAAGCGTGACTGACAATTCGCTAATCAGGCATGTATTTTCATTTAACTGTCATTTGGAGGGCTGTTTGGAGATGTTCTTCGACAAAAGACAACACGTCACCTTCTGTGAACCAGTGGTTGTTGGCATGGCGGCTTAACTAAAGTAATAATCACTACAAGAAGGTACATTTAAGAAGCTAAATGACGGTTTCACGAGTCTCGGCGCTTACAGATGTTTGTATTCCCCTACTTTGTCTCCAATCAGCTTTTCCTAGCTTGTTGTGCGGGTCCATTTTAGAATTACCTTGCTAGTGAGGCCCCCCAGCGCCCGGCTTCACTGAATGACGTTGGAATCTCAGAAAATGGAGGTCAGTTAGATTTTAGTGAAAATTAAGTGGAAGTCGTTGGAGTCCCTCGGGAATGACTTCAGGCAGTGGGCTTTGCTGTCGAAGACTTTCGAAAGAATGGTGTGTTAAGCGGTAGTTGATTTCATCAGAATTAATAAGTGGGGACGCCTTGAATTGTTGTACACGTCTTCCTTTGAGGCTTGGTCGATATAGACAGTGGCAGGAATCGTCCACCTTTCTCAAAGTCCAACGCTCACTTCAGCTGCATTCCGATTAACTTTCAGCCTACGTCTAAGTAAGTAAAAGCACTTTGAATTGCCGCCCACGCCTTCGTTTAAGACCGAAAACATCTGTTTGTAACACTTGGTCAATTTAGGCCGTATCGGGAATGGCCCACCTTCCTCAAGGGCATTTGCTAAGCTTTCAGCCGATGACTAATCTACTACCTACGTAAATACCTACTTTAACTGCCTTTATCCCCAGAAATGGGTCTCGTGAACTCAGGAATTCCCGACACCTCCTCAACGCCATTGTTGAATGCTGTTCCTTATGTCTGTAAAAATGCTGCTTGCACAACCAGCCACCAACAATGTCATCCCATATTAACGCGCACATTTCCAGGCAGTGATGGGCTCTAAATAGTTTAAGCATTGAAACTTTACCACATAGTCGAACGTCACTACGATATAATGTTGTCAAGTCCTCGTTTTGTTGTCGTATAAAAGTGCCGAGTTTTCCCTTTCCTCGGCTTTTTTTGGAGAACGCTGCTGACACCAAGCAAATAAACAAACGGAACAGTCCTTCAAATGTGTCCCTTTTGGGGCAGATAGCCAAATGTCGGCTGAATCAATGCACAACTGGAAAACTGCAAACCGCAGTATTCCGAAAATCCACCGACACGAGACAGATGCTACACTTCAACAGCAACCATCCTGTCTCACAAACGTATCTGTGTTCGCACTCTATTCCAAAGAGTCGAAACACACTGCAGCACGCCAGAAGATAAAAGAGCCAAACGAATGTATCTTCAGAACCTATTTGCAGCCAATGGTTACCCCGGACACTTTATTGAGAGAAGCAGACGTCGGACGCACAGACGACGACCAAATGAGCAGGAACCTGAAGTTTGGAGGGCCATTCCCTACGTTAAAGGGGTCTCGATCGTTACAACCTGCCAGAGTAGGCATAGCCCACCGACCCCAGGCAACAATTCGACGCCGTCTGGTGCAACCTAAGGACCCATTGCCACCCGCCGAAACCTCTGCAGTTATCTACAAATTGCAATGAGGGCGACTGCAACTATTTGGGAGAAACCGGGCGGAAATTGCAGACTCGCATACAAGAGCACAAATCAGGGACTCGGAGGTTAGACCCAAATTCTTAATTAGCAACAGCGAGCTACCATCTTAGGCTGGGGCAACACAAAAGCAGAACGGCTAAATCTCAAGGCGTGGTTCTTCGATGCCCACTTCATCAACAGGCATCTGGACCTTCCTGCAGCCTACAAAGTCCTACGTCATCACAATCGAAGAGCTCAGGACCAAACAACCACACCGGGCTTAAGAAGGCCATACGGAGACAGACCGACGGCGTGTTTACTCGGTGAAGGCGAAGAAGAACCGCCGGACCGACCACTCGACACTGGTTCAGTCACTTACCACCGGCAGAGTGGTGACTCACAACGCACGCAGACAAAATGCTCGTCAAGCATCGCCCGAGAGGCCAAGGCAGCGAGGGGAGAGAAAAATCGATCAGCACGAGGCCGACCAACGTGACACGCCACTTGGGATTTCCGGTCGATTAAGTGCATTTTACGCTTTGACAATGGAGAGCCGACCGAGCTCTTCGAAACGTCAGCAACTTAACAAACCTGTTCCGATGAATCCATCTTCCTCTTCCAATGAATCAATGTAGTCCGGGGTAGGAAATATGGTGGACATACTACGGAAAGCATCATATATAAGATCTACGACCTACTGCAGACGTCTACTGAACAATAGTAAGTAATAATGTGGGGGATGGTTATATTTCAGTCCCACCGATCGAGGTATTAAATCAACTGGTATTTCGTTTCTTACAAGACGGGAGGGCGCTACGAACACACTAGACGTAAAGTATGTTACTGTTCTATAGTTGTTAATGAGCGTTCTTCTCATGTGGAAGCGGAAGTTGGAGTCCCGGGTGCATGTATAAGAAGACTTGTCGTGCACTGGAACAGTTTGCTGTGCTGAGCTTTCGAACTCGCGAATGAGTCCGACGTCAGAGATAATAGCAACAACACAACGAGCGACAATTATAGAGCGTGCAAATCCCTCATCGATCGATGGAGCACGGCTGGAGGTGACTGCGCAGGGTTCGGTACGCCGGCGCCAGATCGATAAATCGATTGGCTGCGTTCTCATCCGAGGCCCAGGTTTCAATTAATAATCGGCCTGTCTTGAGTCTGGCGTGGGCGGTTCCTTTGGTGGCTGCGGCGTTAAACTCATGACCCATTTCGTAGGTGTCGGCAACTGCGGATTAGTGCGTTCAAATTTGGGATGCGAGTACGAGTTTCAGTATTTGACCTGTAATAGTAAAAGCCACCCGCGGTAAGCAGCCTTATTGTCGGGCGGGCGTTTAATAAGAGAATTAGGACACGCGCATGGACGTACGAGCTAAGGCTGCCCGAAATTAGCAAAGTTGTTGTAAATGTCAAAAAATAGAACTACTGATGAACAAGAAGTGCGACCTTTATTTTCTCCCTAAATACTATGCATACTAGTTTCTCGACCAAGGCCGCTCCAGTGGCCGAAGTTGAGACGGAAAAAGATTGCTACGTGAACACTACTCGCATTCTCTACACACTTCGTGGGATCGCTTCGGAAAAAAATGACACACAGCAACGCATTTACATTTGAGACTTTTTCATTTATTTCACGAAGCAAGATTCGCGTTTGCAATAAATTCCATACGACCTCAAAAAACATCTCTGCACACATGCCTATGACAGTTCGACCGTCGATTACGATGATGTCCATCACAACAGGGTGGTCGCAGGGACCGAGAATTGGACGCGAGTTAGATTGGAGCCCCAGCAGACTTGCGCTGCATCTACTGCACTCTTGCTTCCATTACCCTACTGGGCCAAGACATAGCCTAGAGGACAGGGGGCGGGAGAGGGAGCAAATGCCTTGTGCGACGTGAGCCCGCGCCTAGGCGTGCCACCACGCTCCTGGTCCGCACAAAAGACCAGGATCCCACACAACACGAAAGGGAGGGCGACCCGGATCCCGATCGCGTGATCACATAAAGGAGCCATTGCAATCTGACTTTCAGTCCACTAGTCGGCCACTGGACACAAAAAAGCACTGGGCCGATTGCAAGGTCGGAGTTGAATCGTCAGTTAGCGGCTTTTTACGCCACGGCTCTCGGCGCATCGTTATAGTCTCAAGCGCGTCAGATTGTTTATGGCTGCAGAATATGTGCCAAGAATTGACCTCGCTTTCTCTTCCCCTTCCCGTGGACCAGACGATTGTCAGAGCAGCTCAACCAACGGATGCTGAGACTGGTAGAAGTGGCTTACGGAGCTAAGAATGGCCCTTCTGCGTGTCACACACACGACCCCGACACCCACGCAAACACACCAGAATTTTAGGCGTGGACCGCCGTAATAAACGCGCTAGCGCTGAAAGGTGTTTACAAAATAGTCAAAAGGGTTGCAGACGTGTTCATCGCCAACCAGCTTCCCACCCTATCTTGTCTTTACGCGGGGGCTTCAGACGTCGAGTACACAGAAGTAGCTTGGCAACCGAATGGACAAGCCGGTGCCGCCGTCCCTCGTCCGTCGATCTTGTCTTGCAAGTTGCTACCGCACGGCCTTTCGGGAAGAGGTGCTGGAAGTAATGCACCCTGGCGAAGTATCAACATTGTTGGCATTGCTGCCGCTACTGTTGCGGTGATAAACGGATTAAACATTCATGCAAACAGGGAAATTGCCTCTAGGACTTAGACGCAGATAACTCAGGAGGGGAAGGGGTCAGGGCTGGATTCGGTGATGTGCCTGGACCAATAGTTCGAAGGATAGACGTGTGGTCGAATATTGCGCCTGGAGAGAGCTGCCAGCCAACGAAACGTCCTCGAGGTTCGTCAAATCAACGAGACGCAAGGCCCGTGGAGTTATGGGAGGCGATGTCAACTAACAAATTAGGGGATCGAGTCATCCTTCGTCCCCCGGGGGGGGGGGGGGGCACTAACAATTGGCCGACTTATTGCGACGGCGTTGAATCGGTTGTGGATGACCCGGTTCAGAGAGGGTTATTGCCGCAACTGAATGGTCGAGGAGGGCTTTGCCTATGTGCATATCCTGACTACTTCCTAAGATGTTTTATAGAAGCCTAACCAAGCAAGTCTCTTTGAAGGAGGGCGGAAAGCAATGTTTAATGGGGTCGGTTGGGCACACGAATAAGGACCCCCCGTGCTACACACAGTCTCACGCTAAATTTCAGTGGGGACACCTATTCCCATGGTCCGACTTTAACCACAGCTCACACAAAACTAACCCTCAAAATCCTAACCCTAATCCAAGCATCTCTGGAAATTAGCCCAGGGTCACATGTACAGTAGATGTACTAGCTCATGAAATGTTAGCCGAAATTCTGAAATGCGTTTTAGATTCGAAAATATTACTTAAGTGGGGTTTTAATATTAATCACCGTACAGCATAATCCTATGATGATTCAGTTACTGCAGGACGTCAGCTTTTGGACGAGCTTCTCTGCCGGCTGCAAAAACTACACTCTGTAAAAATGACTACTTTAGTAGCATGAGTTTTTCTCATTGATTTTCGATGCCCTTGTAAATGCAGAGAAAAGATGCATAAAAATATCGGTCACATGTGGTTATGTCACCGCACCTGAAGTAAACAAACCCCAGCTGCCTGTAATGCGGGACCGGTGGTTATAGGGGTTTTTGCAGGTGGGACCGGGGGACACACAGGCGACGAGGTCAAGTAGTTGTATGCGAAAAAGCTATTGAGAATGCGCGGTTGAACTTTTGGTGGTTGGGAAATAGTTGCCCTAATCCCTAACCCTTGCCTTTAACATTATTGTGTCCATTGGGTGCGGTTACATAACCACATCTTACCGAAATATTCGTTATCTTACTCCTTTGGTAGGAAGTCAAATCTTCGAATTTTGTACTTTAAGAAGGGGTATAGCCCGCTTTTAAAAAAGTAAGAAATTTCCTAAGACCGTGAACTGCCCGTTCGTAAAATATTGTGTCCACAGTTACTATTGTTACTTGTAAGTCCTCAATATGGCACAAATCCACTGCCATATGGTCTCCTCTTAACAGTGCATAGGAATGCATGATTTTACGTACACGAATATACAGCTTGTAGTTTGGAAACCCTGAATGCAAGCGTAACGACAGGTCGGGTTCAAAATTATGCGGGAAGTGGAAGAATTTCTTAAACCAAATTATACCCTCCCTTCAAGTAAAACATTTGAAGAACACGTAATTTCCTTCCAAATGAACTGAATAATGAATATAAGTGAAGAAGAGTCGAGCACCGGAACACTGTGTTTATTGTCCCGAGCTTTCAGACTCGTACAGGAGTCCATCGTCAGAGGTAGTAGCAGCAACCGAACAAGCGACAGTTATAAGGCATGTAGGCCAATCATCGACCGACGGTGCACAATTGGAGGTGACTACGCAGGGCTCTGTACGCCGGCGCCAGATCGATAAATCGATTGACCGAGTTCTCATTCGAGGCCCAGACTTCAATCAATTCTCGGCCTGTTTTCTTTCCGGCGTGGGCGATTACCTTGGCGGCTGCGAAGTTAAACTCGTGACCCATTTCGTAGGTATGGGCGGCCACTTGTCTAATGCGTCGCCTCGTCGCACAGCCACTTTATGTTCGTGTATGCGCGATGCGAGCATGCACCCAGTCTGCCCTGTGTAGTTACAAGGTCAATTTTGACACGGAATGCGATATACTACTCCAGATTGCTCATCAGGTTTTAACCGGTCTTTGATTTTCATGACTGAGTCACGAGTTTAACTTCGCAGCCACCAAAATAGTCACCCACGTCGGAAAGAAAACAGGCCGAGAATTCATTGAAGTCTGGGCCTCGGATGAGAACTCGGTCAGTCGATTTATCGATCTGGCGCCGGCGTACAGAGCCCTGCGTAGTCACCTCCAGTCTTGCACCGTCGGTCGATGATTGGCCTGCATGTCTTATAACTGTCGCCTGTTCTGCTGCTTCTGTTACCTCTGACGATGGACTCCTGTACGAGTCTGAAAACTCAGGACAATAAACACAGTGCTCCGGTGCTCGACACTTCTTCACGTATGCATACACCTGGAACTCGATATTTCGTCTTCATTCGTCAATAATGAATATTTTTTTATGCTTGTTTCCTATGAACTACATTCGAATTTATAAGGCTGTCGGAAATTAATGAGGATAATCCATACTACCTAAGTAGTCATCTTTTACAGAGTGTAGGCGGCCGGAAAGATGTGCGTTCAAAGGCTGACATCCTCCAGAAACTGAATTATCATGGAATTATGCTGCACGGTGATCAATCTCTTCGGGTCAAAAACGCATTTCGAAATTTCGGTTAACATTTCAGGGGGCGGGGGTCCTTATTTCCTTGATTAAATGATTAAATATGCAATCCCATGCTTTTATTGCTATGACACACCTACTTATCGGATTGTGGTACGCATGTTGTGTTAGGACAACGTTTCTAACTAAGCTGGAGAAGATTGAATTTAGGTCTATGGTCGGAGTCCGAGTCAAGTTTGCCTGTCGCTTATACCGTCTTGCACAATCTGGCATTCTTTAACCAATAAACCTGGATTGCCTGTTTTCCACATGCTCCCACGCCCCTGAGTCGCGTCTTTCAAATTGCGCGGTCCGTTTCGACACATTTTTGGAGTAATAAAACAAGCTTGCAAAAATACGAGCATTCTTATTGTCCGCCTGCCCCACTGATGATAATAATAATGATAATATCCGTCCCGTATTTAATCTCCTCGGTGGGCTTACAAATTCAATTCTGACAATCTTCCTTTTTGGCTGAGAGAAACCTTGTTAGAGGACCAGTGTACCGGATTGCATGAATTATCTTGGCTTTTCGGCAGTCATGTCTGACCATTCTTCCCTGAGATGGAGGCTAATGCGCGGAGATCGGACGAAGTTTCGCAAGTTGCGCGAATTATTCTTTCACCTGGAATGTTTGCTGCCCCACATTGAAAAGAAAGCAGAAAAATTGGGAGCGGGGGATATCAAGATAAGTCAGTAGACATACCAGAACCGCCTGCGACTATGTTCACGTTTGTCACGGGTTGGCAGGTAACCGCAGGTGGTGGTGGATAGGGTGAACCACCTACAAAGTTTCCATCGAAGAAGTGGTTACAACAGGGTACAGCGGGTCTTTCCTAATACGCAATGGCAATAATTAGTACTTAATCAGCTTCCACAATTGCTAAACTCTTCAAAAAACAGAGCCCTATGACAAGGCTACGTTTATCTCATCTTACTGGCAACCAGCACCGCGAATAAGCCTAGGCATCTACATGGGGCCTGTAATGTTTCCCCTAAGGCCATTATTTTGCTCCAAAAATCGATCGTATATATTTGTATATCCGAATGATAGAGAATACGCGCGGCCCAGGTAATTGCATAGAAGAAGACGGGAAGGCGATCGCTGGGACCAATGGTTTATTTATCCGACGTTTCGAACTCTCACGCGAGCCCATCGTCAAGGAATGAAAAAACTGTACAGCTCGTCGTGTATTTAGCTCACCTCTGCCGGGGGTGACCTCTGGCTGCGCTGTTGACTTGTTCACGGAGTGCTTGATAGGCGATTGGCAGATCGATATGTATAGGCAGAATGGCATTATCGACAAAGACAAGGGACACTGGAATGGCCATTTCTGGCTTATTAGCCGTCGTCAGCCAGTCATACCCAACTCCGAAGTGCGGATCACCCGAGGCTCGAACTCGCGACCTGTTTGCTAGAAGTCCACGCCTCTAACCACTGAGCCACGAGCCCGTTGCCCTGTCTGTTTCGATCAGGAATATACAATGGTGGGGGACGCTCACCGATCGTTCTTACGGAACTCACTCGTTCTGTTGTGCCTTATGGACTCTCCCTCGAGCCCAACTAGCAGCCGCACAGCGGCGCAGGATATAGGCAGAATGGCATTACCGACAAAGACAAGGGAGACTGGAGGAGGAGAAAACTGACAAAGACCGGAATGGTCGTTTGTCAGTCAGCCTTGTCTTAATCACAATTTGCGGACCATAACCTCGAATCGGCGTTCTTTGGTTATCAAGCGTCATCAACTCCAACGCTCTGCTATTGAGAAACGGGCCCTTTTTCTTGCTGATTGCGATCGGCAATACTAACCGATCAGGTCACGTGTCGCTAGCACATACAAACTCCCTGGGACGATTTTAAAAAGAAACACTTTGACCTGTGTTCTTCTCATATGACCGGTTTTGTAGAATGATGTATCACCAGCCTCGAGACCAACCAAACAACCCCACAGAGATGCAATATTTCTGACCTATTGTCCCGGTTGTCAACTCGTTCCTTCTGTTGCTGTAAAGAAAAAGTCCTAACACTCTGCGAATCAACTACCGGCCTCGAGGCCGGTAAATGCCAACTTGGACTTCTTGGCGGTTTGAGGCCTCCACTTCCGTATGAACCGCCTCGAATGTCAAATTGCGGAGTACGTTTGTCAGAAGGTGCAGTGCACTCGCGTTTCATCGACGCCTGGAACATTCATGGTTCGCCTGCCATCCGGAGCGGATACTCTGACCCCTCAAAAGCCCCAAGTCCACTACCGATCACAAGGCGCATCCGTTCTAGCTTATTTATCCTCCGCCTGGGGATTTAAAGGGCGAGATGCTTGGGGGGGAGGACTCTGGGATAACTCCCACTTCCAGACAGAGAGAATTAATTGGCCGATATCTGCAGCCTCTTTCAGCCAATCAGCGGTCAGTGTCGCCTGTCCAGAACCATGCTCCGAAGGCCAGGAGTGTGAAGTTGAATTCGGTGCACCGAGTCCTCGCCGGAATTTCAAGCCCAGTGTGTCCGGCCTCAGGTTGACCCGTTTACAGGACGTGGGAATGACAGTGAGATAACAGTCGTCCCTCCAACAGTGCATGGCAGAATTAGGAGGTGCAATGATTTACCGTGCTAACAACACAGCTAAAAGCTAAAAAGCCCAGACACGCGTGTTTCGCCGATCTTATGCCGCTGCCTGACGCAGCTACGGGGGGTTCGGCTCGTCATTGGACCCCACAGCTTTCCCGTGTGTTTTCTGGTAATATGAACTCCAGTTTCAACTTGCCTTGTTTAATTTCCAAGGAAATTAATACGCGAACTTGGAGCAAATCTTTCTAAACCTTTTCAGGCACGGTTCAGAGTTTGATATGAATATTTGAGCTGAAATCCATCAGGTACAGCGGTTACTCGCTGTGGCTGAAGGACTTTGGTCTAAATATTCATGCATAAAATTCTCGGTCTGAGCCTATAGACCTTGAATTAACTGATCTACTCCAACTTCGTAGATAATTTCTGAGGAAATTTAAAAGCGGCGATTTCTAAATTGGAGTCTCTACCAGAAAACACACGGGAAAGCTGGGAGGCCCACTGACGAGACGAACCCCTCGCAGCTGCGTCAGGCAGTGGCATAAGATCGGCAAAACACGCGTCTGGGCTTTTAGCTAATACCTATGTTGTTAGTGCGGTAAGTCATTGTACAGTCCCATACTACTGAGTGCCTGTTGGTGGTTTGTGAATATTAGGCGGTTATTCCGCAGTTGCTGACGGATTTCAGCTCAAATATTCGCATCAAACTTTGGACCGTGCGTGAAAAGGTTTGGGCTAGATCGCAGTTGGTAGCCAGGAATGGGGAAGCGGACGGCGGCCTTAACCCTAAACCTAACCCAAACCTCCAACTTAAACGTTAACAATTAACATTAACGGCAACCCTAACCCTAACCGAAATCATAAACATTACCGTAGCCCTTAGACATAGCCAAAACTGAAAAACCTAACCGTAATTCTGAAACCTAATCATACGCTCAAACCCTATCCGTAACCCGAGAACCTAAGCCTAAAGGCATAACCCTAACACGAAAATCGGGAACCATTAACCGGTTCCCTAATCCTAACCTCAAACGTAAAAAAGGAAGCCAAATGGGTCAGATGTGATTATGGAGCCCCACAAAATAACTCCAGTAAACAAACCCCCACCACCTGTAATACGGCACCGGGCTACCAACTGCGATCTAGCCAAGATCTGTTTCGAAAGAGGTGCTCCAAGTTCGCGCATTGGTTTCCTCGGAAATTGACCAAGGCAAGAATTAGGAGGTGCCTTTCCCGCCGCGGAGTGGTTTCGCGTGTTCTGTAGACGCGCCGACACATTGGCTGACAGGTCGGACGCCGTTACCAACGATGTCTACTGTGTCTCCCACAGTGTGGCGAGTGCAGGAAGAGGACTTGCGCGTGAAATAATTTAATGATAGCAGACTTCCACAGCATCTGCCGCACTATCACCCCCCCCCACCCTCCTGGGCCCAGTGGCGAGACAGAGTCTGGATGTTGTCACTTTTTAATTTCCGGAGAAATTTTGTGCGAAGTAGGAGTAGATCAGTATATTCAAGGTCTATAGGCACAGACCGAGAATTTTATACATGAATATTTGGGCCAAAGTCCATCAGCCACAGCGGGTAACCGCGTAATATTCATTAACTGCCTACAGGCAGCTAGTAGTATAATCTAGGGTAAGGTGACACCATACTAACAGCACAGGTACTAGCCAAAAGCCCATACACGCGTGTTTCGCCGATGTTTTGCCGCTGCATGGCGCAGCTGCGAGGGGTTCGGCTCGTCAGTGGGTCCCCCAGCATTCCCCGTGTGTTTTCTGGTAGATACTCCAATTTAGAAATTGTCACTTTTTAATTTCCGGAGAAATTTTGTGCGAAGTAGGAGTAGATCAGTATATTCAAGGTCTATAGGCAGAGACCGAGAATTTTATACATGAATATTTGGGCCGCTGTGGCTGATGGACTTTGGCCCAAATATTCATGTATAAAATTCTCGGTCTCTGCCTATAGACCTTGAATATACTGATCTACTCCTACTTCGCACAAAATTTCTCCGGAAATTAAAAAGTGACAATTTCTAAATTGGAGTATCTACCAGAAAACATACGGGGAATGCTGGGGGACCCACTGACGAGCCGAACCCCTCGCAGCTGCGCCATGCAGCGGCAAAACATCGGCGAAACACGCGTGTATGGGCTTTTGGCTAGTACCTGTGCTGTTAGTATGGTGTCACCTTACCCTAGAGTCTGGATGGCCAGGAGCAGAATTGGGCGCAGTGGTTGACGAACTCAAACAACTTGATTACCCGTGCAACGCTCCATCTGGTACTCGCACAATGTGGCAGGTTTTCAGAGGAAAGGAAGGGACAGCCCGGATCTCCTGTTAGTGAGGGTGTCACGGAGTCAGTGAACCTGACTCGCAGCCAGTCACTCCACAGAAAAACACACAGACAGTATAGTCCGCAAGGACCGAATTATCCCGCCAGCTGGCAGTCCTCTAAGGTTAGCACGTTGTAATGGAATTAAACGCGCAGGATCTTTGCAGGTAGGAAATGCGTTGATTTGTCGTGCGGATGGAATCAGACAGTAGTAAAGGTATGGCAGGCAGACAAGGACAAATAGGCCAAGAACAATCTTAACGGTCGCCCTAACATTTATCGCCAGGTCTCACAATGTCAGATTGACTTCTGGATGCGCATAGGAAATTTAACTCGGTACCCAATTGTACGAAACTTGGCGGTCCCGATGGGATTGGTTGTTTAGGAAAAACCTACTTCGATGGTCGGAGTTGGCTGATCCCATACTTTGCGGTTGGTTGGGTGGGGAAGGGGGCGGGTGGGAGGAAACGTAGCTAAAATATTAAAACCTCAAAACCGTGGGTCAGTGCTGGGAGTGCCAACACTCCCAAAAACAAGAGCCAACCAATCACTGGAGACCGCGTGCGTTTGCTCTCTCTACAGCGTTGTCATCTTAACGTGGCGCCTTTCCATTGGCTACTCTCCTCTTCCCGAAGGTCATTGGGCCGAATGACGGCGAACCACAGTAGGGTGTTATAAATATGCGTCACCTTTCAGCTAGTCGCGACTTGCGGTTTTTCTAGTACACTTTCCGTGGCCGGCCGTGTTTCCTTTGTCCGCCGCCTTGGTATGGGGGACAAGGGTCGAGTGTGTATACGCTCTACGGGCTTTCAAGAAACAGGCCGAGTCATAACAGTGATTAGTGTTCGAACCTTATCGAGGCCTTCGACCCTTTTACAACTGGATAAATTGTTCAAATCTGCCAAAACACGCATCAAAATGGAAAACTGACCCACTATGCTCGCAAAGCAGGTATTGCTGAGTGTTAAGGCACACGTTTTGTCGACTTACTGAGGTGACATGGGGAAAGTGCGAGAAAATTGCCTTATCCGCGCGCCTCAGCACTCCTATTAGGTTTATAGCATGAACTTCGACCCGACGTCGCTAGTAGTTGACGGTTATCTCAGTGATAGTAAGAGTAGCAGTAGCAGCAGTAGCAATAGTAGTGGCAGTAATAGTGGTGGTGGTGGTAGTAGAAGTAGTAGTGGTAGAAGTAATGGTAGTAATAGCGGTTGTAGTAGTAGTAGTAGTAGTGGCAGTAGTAACAGTAGCGGTAGTAATAGTAGTATTGGTAGTAGCACTCGTGGTGGTAGTAGTAGTAGTAGTAGTAGGTAGTAGCGATAGCAGTAGTGCTGACAAGTTGGAGCGATATCAATAGTAGTAGTAGTAGTAGTAGTAGTAGTAGTAGTAGTAGTAGTATTAGTACTATTAGTAGTAGTAATAGTAGTAGTAGTAGTAGGAGGAGCAGCAGCAGCAGCAGCAGCAACAGCAATAAAGACGTCACTCTCCTCCCCATTATAATAATTTCGTCACAATCACAGGCTTGTCAAAAGCAGGTTATGAGCACAAATCTGGCTGAGCTTGGTCAACAGAATTATTTATGTGCCATCCACACATAAAATAAATGAAAACCATATTAAGAAAACTTACCTGGCTGCGGAGAAGCCACCCATCCAGGAGGGGGCATAAGAGGTGCCTGTGGTGACTGGACACCGGTGTAGTTCGCGGGGCTGTATGGTGGCGGTGGCGCGGTGGGTTGCGAACAAGCTGCCTTCTCTGCGGTAGAAAGAGAGGGGTCAAGCTTGTTATAAAAAGGCTGTGCAAACTTTTAAAAAAGTCGTAAGACTGTAGGTACTTTGAAGCTGATGTCCGAGGGATTACAAGTAGAGGCATTGCGAAAGCCGCTGTCACCTTTTTAGGGCCCTTAAGGACAGGCGTAGTCTAAAGTGATAATTCTGCATTGCCCATGGGGTCCGAGGGCATTTGGTTACGATGCGATACATCCAATGTCATTTATGGAGTCTTGTGCAGTCCTTGCAAGGTCAACTACGTCGGAGAAACTAGAAGCAAGCCCGGTGAGTGAATAAAATAATGCAGTAGAAAGGAGATGAACGGGGCCCCTCAGATGACGGAACGTCATACAACTTCTGAACACAGTTTACATTCCGAAATTTTGAAATACCGGACAGACGAAAGAACCAAAGGGTCAGATGAAGGCGAGGCATGAAATACGGACAGGGTAATAACTTGCTGTCCGGCCATCCTCTTTGAAGCATACGAGGTCCTCTGTGGGCATCTTACGTGATGGTAAAATAGGGAGCGGCCGTGTTGCGTACGCATGTTCCGTCTTCTTCCCAGGCGAGCCCATCGTTGAGGATAGAGGAAACGTGCAGATCAATGAGTGCTTAACTCACCGTGGACAGCGACCCACAACTATGCTGTTGGTTTGTTCGTGCAAACCCGGATCAGCGGTTGGTGAAATAATGTCTGTTAACTAAGCCGTCAGTTGGACGTGACGCTCCTTGCAGTCAGTGCGAAATTCAGTCATCTGATTGTCCTAAGTTCCTTGCACGGTTAAAAGGGAATTTGTGCTTTAATGTGCAGCCACCGAGGAAGGTTTCTTCTCGCCCCATAGTCAATTCTTGTTCGAGCATTTGAGTCTGATCCGGCTCATCAGGTTCACCAACATAAATGGCTTGGCCACACTTAAAATCGGTCAAACAAATCATGTTGAAATGAACTACTGGTCAACTGTCTTTCTCAGCTTGTGAGCGACGTACTCGCACATACCAGCTACATAAGTTACAAGACGCTAGAACTTTTGATATGAGTTCAATCCACTGGCTTTTCGCTTCCATTTCTTGATAAAACTGCCGAGGTGTCTAATAACGGTGAAGAGCTTCTGGAGAAGCTGAACTCCAGTCTTGTTGCATCTGACTCGCTGTTGAGGCTGCCGAAAAGACAATCCCATGCGGATAAGATTCATGGTTAATGCTCTCCGAAGATATCCATCGGCTGTTTATCGGATGTCCACTCTGGTAGGTCCATTTGGCTAACGCCTTCCTTCTCCCAAACGCATAAAATGAATTTTAGGAAGGCTGCCAGAAGGTCTTATTCTTGGCCAGACAAACTCGTAGATAAAGTAGACAGGTGTCATTTGGGATATTTTGTTCTAATCGTTGTGCTATATATGCTGGACTGCAGAAGTGAGTAATCTAAAAAAGCAACTAACAGTTGTTATGTCTTTGGGTGACGGATGAAAAACAAAATGGGAGAACGCGTATTGCCAAGACCGCCCTTCCGAAGTGATTCCCTCTTCAAACTTATAAAGCAACAGTTGGCTAAGACCTGTGCATATACCTTTTCTGGTCCAAAAATATGGTTGGTATTCTTCACAAATACAAGTCCACTCGACAATTAGACCGCCGTCGCCAGCGATAGCTACTGTGTACTCCACAGCTGAGTCAGGGCAAGGACGTTGACTTGAGAGTGATTTAGTTTAAAATGACAGCAGACTTGCGCAGAATCTACCGCACTCTCCTCTTCTTTCCCACTGGGATCCGGTGTCAAAACAGAGTCAAAATTACGGAGGCGGAGGAGGTCAGACGTGGCTGGCACGACGAAAGCCTAGGCGTACTACCACACCCTCTGGTCCAGGATTTTACGCAACAAGGGAAACGCAGGGGGGGGGGCGGCGCAGACCCCAGTTGGTGCGGCATGAGCCTGCAACTAGGCGTGCGACCAAACCCCAACGTTTGCATTTGTCATGCGTACGCATTTCTGATAACGCCCGTCGGACCACCATCATGCCCCGTATTTATTACTGGAGAAAAGGCAAGCCGTCAGCGGGTATGCGGAGGAGGCTGTATTGGTGGAAGGACAAAAGTGAGTCCAAAACAGTCAATGAAGTCCCAAAGTAACTTGCAGAGTGTAGTTAACTACCGGAAGTTGCTTTGGCAGTACTTACTATCTGCAGGAAGTGGAAGTCGTACTATACAGTGAGCGAAGAAAAAGGTCTGTGCGAGAAGTACAGTTGTTGAGGACCACAGGTTAATCAATCGGAGACGCAGTGGACATTTAGCACAGTAAAATTACCCAGCTCCTCACCTCGAGAGCTTTCCAAATTGCCCACTTACTGTTCCAGTTTCTACCTGCCTGGCAATCTGATGAACAACTTTGTAAGCCCAGTGGAAATTTGTAAGTGCTATCCAGTCTTTTGAAACAGTTAACGTATATTAATGATAAAAATCAAATTTCCAGAGAAAATGTCAGGTCAGAAACCTTTTGTTAACAGATAAAACGTGAACGGCTATACAAAAAGACCACGAGTATGATACAGACACGGTTTCTAAAGCAACCACTTGCAGACACAAAAATACTTTGCGTTGACGCCCTCCGTGGGAAATTACATGCAGACCACGTCATTGAAGATACGAAGATTTGTGAGATCTGCTATCCCTGTGACCATCTCAGAAGGAATGCCCACTCTGAGTCTTCATTTAAAAATACTTACAAGCCCACCGGAGGCGAGCAAAGAGTGTTAGTGGAGTGACAGGGCGCCGGATATGGAGTTTGACCCCTTACAGAGGCATCTCCAAGGTCGCAGAAAGGATTGTTCACGACCCAAAAAGTGGTGTCACACACTAATCAAGAGTTAGTGCAGTCAGATTGGCCGGTGCCAGGCCCCGGCAAAACCTAATACAACAGAAAGTTTTATTTATCCATTTCGTTCGCTGGTTTTTCCTGTGACTGTTTAGTTCACACTGAACGAAAACTGGAGCTCGAATTGCGAAGCATTAAATGACCCTTCGATAGAAAAACGTATTTTTATTTGTGGCCTCAAAGCGTTGGCCGCTGTGGATGAACAGAGAGCAGGACTGCACTAAGATGCCAGCATGTGCCAGGATGAAGGTGTTCAGTTTAAGTCGGCATTATGCCCATATTTTGATATTATAGAACTCAGACTAAGTACGGCTTATACAGTACACGAACATCACCACAGCTCTCACCTAATACGGCTGATAAAAAACTAATCGTCTCGGATTGTCTACGTCTAAACAGAGATCTTTGCCTCCCCTCTTACATGAGTAATTGTGTGGAAAGTACGGTTGCCGAGTAAGAAAATCCCCTATATGAATATCCGTATGCACTAACAAGGTTTACATACCAAGCGCCGCGCAGCCAGGCTAAAAAACGCAACACACTTTTAGTAGCGACGATGGCGAACAATTTTCATAGCCATACAAAGGGGAAGCTGATTAGTTCTTTTTTTCAATTTAAAATTCCTTGTTAACTACTGCGTTTAGCTAAGAATGAGGTCAGATAGGTAACAAGGCTTGGCTCAATAAGCTCTTACTTCCCGTTTCTTTTCTACAACTTACTCAAAGTTAACAACTTTCTTCTGGAAATGAGCGAAGAGGTCCGTTACGTGTCGGGATCAGCATGCTTACGTAGGAATTCACGTTTTAAAACGAAGAATATTTTTAAGATCCGCACGTTAGGCATTCATTAGAATTTGCCCGAAGCGCTTTAAAGATTCTTTCTCCTGTTTGCAAGGTCTTAAAATAAACTAATAAATAGATTAGTGAATACGTCAGCAGGTTCGAGGATCCTGTTAGAAGATTTTAGAAATCAAATGAAGAAACCTAGATGAAAACCGATGGGCGGTGTGCAAAGAAAGGAGCCTTTGTTTGTTGGAGAAAAACAAGGGGTTTGGGGTGAGATAAACGCAGCCGGCCAGAATTATTCTTAACGAAAGGTCGGCGTGTAAAAAGACATGAACTGAGCCAATATCATGTGCTATGTCAATCAGGCTTTCTGTCTCATCACTGATTTGTTAAACTAGATGTGGACTTCGTGCGCTCCGACACTGTGCCCGTGGCAACGCAAAGAAGCTATGCCATTCATCTTCATAAACGAATGTAAAAGTCTTACAACAAACGCATGATTTTTTAACCTAAATGTCATCTTCCATCGGGTACCCAGCTTAAACTGATGATTACAACCGGCCATTATATATATATATATATATATATGAACAACCGTTTACTCACATTTCTTTTTATCGGCTTAACCCCCCCCCTATATATGTAAAATATGAGAACGCCTCCAGTACTCCCTCCTTTTAAGATGGGAAGACCCGCCCACTCACCATCCATCTCCCCCGGGGGCACGCACGGACTGGGAGGTTATTCAAATAGCCACCCTTGAACTCAAGGACGGCCTTGAGAACCCAAGGACGAATTCATGACACATTTTAATCTTCAGAGTTTTCATCGATATATTGTAATAAACTCTCTAAATATGAACTGAGTATTCTAGTCACAGTCGTTCAATGACTCGAAAACCTTTCTCAAGGCAGTTTGCACATGCGTCGACGAATGCACATCAAGCAGCTCATCTGGATTTAGAGCACACGTTGGCACTCATTGGCCCGCGCTTCGTCACTCAGACCGTCATCTGGGGATATCGAGGTCCTGTTCGTGACTAATGGATGGAAGGGCTCAGTTTGGGCTTGTTAGCTGCACATTCTTTCTGTCTCTTCTGTCGGAGTTAAGCGTTAAACCTCTGGAAAATTTAATTTTATTCGCCTATGTTCGCTTCATCAGCGCAGACTGGTAATATTTCCATACAGAGTGATAAGATCGTATCTTAGCTTAAGATCATACTGAGTTTTACAGCATCCGCCAACAACTATACGTCGGATTTGATTCTTCACATCATATTATTAAAATAAATGATGAAGAACCTTGGCAGATCTTGTACCACAGTAATTAGGGCCCAGTCAGAGTTTGGAACTGACGAACAAAAACTCCAATACGAAGCGTGCATCCTTTAAAGATGATTGAATTGTTCATAACCATCGACTTATGACCGGCTTTGGGTCTGAGCGCATATCTCAGCTAGAGAAACGTGGATGCCGGTGACAAACTATCACGCGTGGCCGGACAATGCCAGCTTACTGAGTTTACTGAAGGAGTTTTCACCCTTTTGGAGTCCGCAGACGACCGTCTTCAAGAACGGATGCTTATGAGTTCCAGTCGCTGGTGTGCCGTTACCACGTGATATTTAGCGCAATACGTGTTAGACAGAGGCTGAGGATTTATCCAAGCCTTAGGCGTTATACGAACAAAAATTCTTGAGACACTTCATTTTTAACAGGGGTTTCTAAATAAAGTCCGCAGACAAAAACTCTACGATAAACGTAGTTTTATTCCGAAAGACCAGTTTAGCGAACTTGGGGTGGTGCATTTATTAGGAGAATACTAAGAACACGTCGCTAAAACCAGAGTGCGCGCAGCACGATTTTGAAAAGATTGCTGGAAGTTATATTTTTGAATTCCATTTCTTAATTTCTTGCGCAGTTTTGCGGTGTAGATCTGACAAAATTTCGTGTTTTTTGTCATAAGCCATCTTAGCTTCCCGTCGTGTTTTTTCGATTTATCATAAAGCGGAAATATAGTATCATGGCTTTTCGCCTAACATAGCCTCAATACTATTAAATTTTACCCGCTTATATAAAAAGTTTTCCTCGTAAAATTTTGAAAAGCATTATATTTTAAACGATAAACTGTCCCCACTGATCAATTTTATCGTCGGTTTTTTTTACTATTAAGAGAACTATATTGTTCTCTATTTTATCCTACATAGTCTCATTATCCAATTCAAATTTACTCGCTGTTTTGTTTTGCCACGTACATTATTGTCATTTACCCGTTTTTTCAAGTTTGCATTCCGCTACTGAGTTTAAATTTCTTAGTACTAATTGTGCTGTCTGGCCCACCAATATTGATAGCTTTCAGAAATTGTTTCATCATACGTAGCCTCATTCACATCTCCTTGAAGTTTCGGCAGCTATAAGCACTATAAAATTTTGGACTAAAGTATTTTTTTGCTTTTTCGACATGAAACCTCAGGCAATCCTTCGTCAAAATCTGAAGGATACTAAACTCCAATTAAAACTTATTGTACATATGAAGAAAATAAACCTAGGGGCAGTCGATAATTTTAACAATTTTATGTCTCGTTACGGATCAATTTTTTTCTGTTCTGGGCACCCTTCTTGAAGGAAAGCTGTCAACACTTACGTCTCAGCAGTGCGAGAAGCTCATGTCTCTCAATGACCTGGTTGCTAGTGAGACAGATGACAGGCACAAACGAAGTAAACTTTATTTTAAAAAAACGTTCCTAAGAGTAGACAGCCAATTGATGTCGCTTTCCACTTTCTCTACTCCTGCGGCTTCAACTTTAGAGTCGCTGAAGCTAAAAGACTTTCATTTAGGAGCAAACATTCACCAATTCTTGTCAAACTATTTTCGTCGATAGAAGTGGACTTTCTTTTCTCCCAATTGGAGCGCTCAGCTCAATATCTCAGGGAAATTAACTTTTTATTAGTCGAGATAGAACTCCACTGCAACGAAGAGTTTCTCCCCCATTAACAAACGTAAAGCCACCCCAGAATTCAACTCATCTGCTGTTTGCCCCTAAAGCAGATTCTCCGTCGAGCGCCAACCAAACCTCCCTCTTAGCTGCAGTGGCCCCAGTCCCATATAGCTCTTCAACTGAGCACATTATCACTGAGTTAGTTGAAACCAGCCTCTTCAAAACGCCCCCAAGATGCAAGGATTGCTCAAATGCGGCTCCCAGCCAGTCCTGTCTGACCCACATTCGTACCCATCAAGGCTGACATTTATTGCTACCCTGACGATGACCGACAACATTCCGTTATATACCGCCACCTACAGGCCAGTCCTCCTCGCTTTTTTCTGTTACTATTTTTATGGAGGGTTTTTTTTTCTCCTGTAAAATCAATCCAATCATTTTTAACTTTTTGTAAGGAGTTTTTTTTCACCCCTCAATCATCATGTTTCTCAATGGACTTCTAATTCAGAAATTATGAATTGCATTTTGTAAAGATTCGGCCTACCTCGTCTAAAACTCGCATGCAAATTTATTTTAACTTGCTTTGATGGGACCCCGACGGGTCTTTAATAAAAATTATCTATCTATCTATCTAACTGAAAAGAGTTTGATAAGCATAGGAGGAAAATCTTTTAGCTGTTTTATAAGGGAGTTTGGGATATTGTCCGTAACTATAAAGTGCGAGTAAATAAGCTGGCTTATCAGTTTTTGAATAGTTTCAGGAAAAAAAGTAATGATGCTGAGAGATGCATCAGGCAACGGAGGAATTACATGCATCATTTATGGACAGGTGTACTAATTAGGTTCTTTGAGAGATGCTTCAAAATACACAGGCTAATTTTACGTCCCATCGCAAATTATAATTAAATGCCTAGAGGTGGGAACTAAGAAGTAAACCATGCAAGAATGAGCCACATACAGATTTACCTATAAATGCATAAAACATAGATATGTCCACAATTCACAGCAACGCGGAAAATTCCCCCTGACCTGTTTTAATTTACTCTGAAAAAGAGAATAAACACCAGTGTTCAGTTGCCGACGTCGCGGCAAAACGTTTTTGAAGCTAAAAGTATATTAGCAAAGTTTTGTACTTGATGAATAAAATATCTTTCTGAGACCTCCATTTCGGTCTGCTATTTAGTCCGACGATCTGGTTTCACAATTGATAGGCTAAAAATCTAACGCGAACTGTCATCTAGGGAAAATACTCCTAAATTCGGACTATGCAGGTAATGGGTTACCACGTGTATAAGTACGTGGTTGTTTTAGTGAGGATAAAAGGCGGAAACCACGTTATCAGTCAATCAAAAAGGACGCTAGAAACGTTGTTTTGTTCACCGACGTCGCGCATATGTCATGAGACCCTCTAACGTTTAGGAGTATACCACGAAAACGATTTAAGAAACAACTTACCCATGGTACTTGAATCTTTGATTTCCTACCCGATGCTCGTTATAGATAATCTCAGCTTATACCTAGAAGACCACGTTGAAAAACTTGTCGGTGACTGCCCTCTTTATATCAGAGCCTCACTTGCACATTCGCCTTATGACCTGAACATTTCTTCCTTCTTTGGAAATCTCTGTTTCGTTTTCGGTAAAGCCGAAAATAAAGACCAACTATGTGAACTCCTCGAAAACATTACAGAGACTCTGTTTCATGTCAAGATAATCGTAGGCGATTTTAATCTGCCAAAAATTGATTGGCATACATATACTTCCTCTCCTAAATTCCAGACGCTTCTGGATACTATTCATTTTTTAGACTTGTCTCAACTTGTTCACTCTTCGACCGGAAAGAATAGTAGATAAGGTTTAATTTTTACTAATGGCATCCACCATTTATCTGTGGATTTCCATCGTGACTTTTTACATGTGATAATGCGCTAATTCATTGTTGTCTTCCAGTCTCCATTTCCACAAAGCCAACGGTAACACGCAGTGTTTTGACTATGGTAATTTTAATAAGAAATTAGTGAATAGCTTTACAAGCACTCTTGATTGGTACAATATTTTTTCCAAGTAATTGTCCGAATTTTTGCCACGATTTACTGCACTCCGTAAAAGAAAGTCTTAAATAAATAAATAAAATCGTTTTATTAAAGACCCATCGGTGTCCCTGCAAAGCATGTAAAAGTAAATTTTCATGTGGATTTTAGACGAGGTGGACAGAATCTGTACAATACGTAATTCATGGTTGCTAAATCAGTAGTCCGTTAAGAAAAATAATGAGCAAGCAGTAGAAAAACCCCACGCTAGAATAAAAATGATTGAATTAACTTTATAGGAGAAAAAACTGTCGCCCATGAAAGGGTGTAAGTGCGGCAGGACCGGCCTATAATCGGACATCGTCAGGGCAGAAAAAAATGTCAGCCTTTAGGGGTATGTATGCGGGTCACACAGGACTGGTCTACGTGCGGTATTGTATAAGGGATTCAAAACAAATATTGTCGGGACATAGTTCATACATCGAATGAGACCATTCACGTCAAATTGGCGAGACAAAAGGAACCCTTACGCGATCGGTCACAGTCCGCTTCGAGCCCAGCCGAGGGTTGGACAAGGTAGGTACGACCAAACTACTAGTAGACGGCGAATACAGAGAGTTCCGCCGTGGGCTTCGACAGACCGCTTGAGGTCGAAATGAGGAGATGGCATCAAGAACCGCGACAGAATTACAACCGAAGGTGCTCAGATTGATGGCTTTATATTCCACAATTTATATCTTCCTGAAA